TCTCACCATCCCCACCTCCCCCCCATCTTTTGCGCCATCTCCCTCCTCCAAGGACGAGGAGACGCGCCAGCTCTGGCTGGATGCGCTGCCGCAGCTCGTGGCCAAGTGGACGGCCGAGGGTCCAAAGGCAAAGGATACTGCAGCCGTGCACCAGACCCTGGCAGACCCGGAGTCACGCAAGCGCACCGCAAGCGGCCTCTCGCTGTCATCGTTGGCCTCTGTGTTGGACCGTCGCGCCACCTCTGCTGCCGGCAACTCTGCCGATGACTCGTCACCAAGCACATCCCGCCACAGCACCATTGCTGTGCAAGGTGATGTTGTTGGGCTGCGTCGTGCTGTCGCTGCTTTGCCTCGCTGTCTTGCTTGTATCTCGTGTGTGTGTGTGTGTGTGTGTGTGTGTGTGTGTGGTGTGCTGTGCATGCGCCTGTTGGCTGCGATGTGCGCGCATCAACACAGCGTTCGCTGTCCCACATCCCTCCCTCCTTCCCCCACACACTAATCCCCCCCCCCAACTCGCTCCCTCGCTCCCTCGCCTCCAGCAGATGAGAACGGACACCGACAGCCGTCGTTCAGCAGCGCAGCCATGGACAATGGAGACAACGATGATAATGAGGAGCAGGGGCAACAACAACCCCGCACACAGCAGCAGGACCACCAACACGAGACGGATGACGATGAGGTGGATGAGGGCGGTGCCGGCACAACAGCACACGCGCAGGCCGAGACGTCGTCACGATCGCACGGTCTGCAGATCTCCGTCGACGACCCAGAGGCGCGAATGCTCAACCCGCCGTCCCAGCCCACGCACGTGCCCGCTGGCGACTCAACCTCGGAAGATGATGGTGGTGATGGTGATGGTGGCGATGGTGGTGATGGCGCATACGCGCACGCGCACGCGAACGGCGCAAGGGGTTATGGTGATGTGGAGGCCGACTTCTCCAGCACAGCAGCACCGTTGTCGTCGAATGGTGGCGGTGATTACGGCATTGTGGACGGCGATGAGGGCTCTGATGACGACGACATTGACTTTGGCCAAGACGAACCAGACACCGCCGGCGATGGTGCGTTGCTCACAGTGTGGTGGGCAGCGAGGCTGGCCCCCTGGATTATCGTGTGTGTGTGTGTGTGTGTGTGTGTGTGTGTGTGTGTGTGTGTGTGTGTGTGTGTGTGTGTGTGTGTGTGTGTGTGTGTGTGTGCGTGCGTATGTGTGTGTTTATGAGTATATTTTGTGCGTCGCTCATCGTGTGCATCGCCAACGTTCCATTGCCCTCAACCACTGGCCATTGTCACCACCGCAGGTGCAATGGTGTTTCAGTCTGGCGCCACAAACACGCAAACAATCCAGGGATTCCTCTTCAAGCGCGGGTGAGCGCGGGTGAGCTCAACTGTACGCACACACACACACATGTGCACATGCAACTGTCTTCCACTCCGGCGCAACTCGCTTTGTTTATGTTCAGCGTGTTCACTGCTTGATGGATGAGGCATTTGTTTTGTTTCATATGTCCTCCCATCACTTCACCCATCCCCTCACGGGAACTATCTCCTCTCTCCACCGTCTTCAATCCCCAAACCCCTTTCCCCCTCTATTCATTCCTCTTACCGTCTGTCACCTCCCTCTGCCCATTGTCTCGCCCCAGGTCGCCCGCGCGTCTCGTTGGCGTCGTGCATAACCAGGCATGGCGCCGCCGCTGGTGTGTCCTCGCAGACGGCTATCTCCAGTACTACGAGCGCACCACAGACACGTCAGTCCGGCTTTGCTCTGCTTGCGTGCGTGTTTGCTCTGTGTGCGTGATTGCGTGGGTGTGCGTGAATATATGTGCGCGTATGGTAGTGTGTTTGCGTGTGCACGGATGTCCGTGAGTGAGTGTGCATGTGTGCGTGAGTGAGTGTGCATGTTTGTGTGTGGGTGTGTGCGTGCATGTGCTTGTGCTTGTGCTTGTGTGCAATTTCACTGGTGAGCCGCTCACCACAGTACATCCCGATGGCGGTGCACAGATCCCCGAAGGGCCGCATTCCTGTCTCAGACATGCTCGGCGTCGCCGTTGTCACAGAGCGAACAAAGGTGCGTGCGCGCGTGTTAGTGTGTTCGTGTGTGCGTGTGAATGTGTGTGCGTGTGTTCGTGTGTGCGTGTGAATGTGTGGATGTGTGGATGTGCGTGTGTTTGCTTGTATGCTCATGTGCCTGTTTGCATGTGTGTCCGCATCCCACACCACTGTGGCTCTCACATTGTCTCCCATCACCCTCTCCTCGCTGTCGCTGCACAGGACGCCCGCCCGCTGACATTTGAGCTTCGAATGCATTCTAAACGCAACTACATCTTCAGTGCCGAGAGCGAATCAGACCTTGACAAGGTGCACGTCCAACACCCAGCATCTCTTGCGTCGCGTATCCCCACCTGCCGTGCATGCGTGTGGTCATGTATGTGCGTGTGTGGTCATGTGCGTGTGCGTGTGCGTGTGCGTGTGCGTGTGCGTGTGCGTGTGTGTGCGTGTGTGTGTGCGTGTCACGCGGTCAATTAACCTCACGTACACTATCCCAACTCCTTCTACTCACGCACTTTCAACCAACACCTGTGGCCCCTTCCTTCACTCGCAGTGGGTGTCGTTCATTGACGGGCTGATCACCAAGTCGCAAAAGTCTGGCTTCCTGTACAAGCGGGGCGGCATCAACCGCGCGTGGAAGAGCAGATGGTTCGTCCTTCGCGACGCGAAACTCCTCTACTACGCTCAAAAGGTCAGTGGTCGTGATAGTGACGTTGGTGTTGGTGGTGGTGGTGGTGATGATGATGATGGCGGTAGTGATGGTGGTGGTGGTTGTGACGGTGGTGATGATGGTGGTTGGGATGGTTGCATGAGAGCTGGTTGAAAGAGAGCTGTGATTCTGTGCATCACAGAGGCACGGCTGGCCTGGAGTGTCAAAACGTGTCTGTAATCACACACACACACACACACACACACTCACACTCACACTCACAAACACGCACACATGTATATGGTCGCTGCGTGCGCTGCAGAATGCAACGGGGACGGCTGCTGCGAAAGTGATTGATTTGACGCGCGCACGAGGAATCCAAGAGCTGGACGAGCTCGATGTGGGCGATGACAACTGCTTCCAGGTAGCACACACACACACACACACACACACACACACACACAGAGCACATGAGCAACCCCAAGTTACAGCACTTTGTATCCTCCCACACCCACCACCTCATTGTCACTTGCACACCCCTCTCGCCTGCCGTGTGCAGATTCTGTGCGACAACCGCACGTGGACGCTGCGCGCACACGACGAAGTGGACAAACTGGACTGGATCTCCGCCATCCGGTGCGAACTTCCAACACAGAACATCAAGAAGAGCGGATACTTGTCGAAGAAGGGCGAACTCAACACGAAGAGCCGCCGCCGCCGCTGGTTTGAGCTCTCTGATATCACGCTCGCCTACTACGACTCAAAGGTAATTGGTGGTGGTGATGGTGATGGTGGTGATGGTGGTGGTGGTGGTGATTGGTGGTGATGGTGGAGCTGCCCGCGCTCGCGTTCATTGATACCTGTCTGCGCGCGGTGTGGACGTGTGGTTGCACTTAGTTGTGGCTCCCTGTTCCACTCATCCAATGCACCCACCACCACCGCACCTGTCACCACCGCAACTGTCCCCGATGACAGGAGACGACGCAGTTCAAAGGCAGCATCACGCTGCGGGCAATACAGGACGTGGTGCTCGGGTCTGACGAGGCGCCAGCGGACAACACGTCCTTTCGCATCATCTGCGCCCACCGCACGTACACGCTCTCTGGCGACGACGAGCAGGACGTGGCAGACTGGGTGGATGTCATCAACATGTGTGCACACGCAGCGCAAGCACGGCCAACGCTCACCGCCCGCCCGCAGCTCCGCGCCAACTCGTCGGATGAGGACGAGGACGATGACGATGGTCTTGGCATGCGGCGTGGCAGCAGCGTACGTGGTCGTCGTCGCACAGGCAGTGGTGCCATGGCCAAGCAGCAGCAGCAGCAGCAGCCAAGGAGGAGGAAGAAGAAGATGCTGCGACGCACGGAGACAGCGCTCCCGGGTGATGATGACGAGGATGAGGATGAAGACGAGGTGCTTGGCGGTCGCGGCAATGATGACGACGACGATATTGATTTTGGTGGTGGTGGCGGCGGTCGCATGGCAGCGCGAACACGCGCTCGCTACGGTGACGACAATGATGTGGATGACGGGAGTGGGGATCTTCCCACCACCCGCATGCAGTATGGCCGCAGTCGTCGCGCTGGCGGTGGCGGATATGGCGAGTGGGATGACGAGTATGATGATGACGACGATGACGACGACGATGATGCAGCCAGGTTTGGTGAGCGGGGCGCGTACGGACGCGCGCAGCAGCGACAGCCTAAGGAGACGCTTGCGGCGCTGTCACAGCACAAGGCCGCGAACACACGCAGGAAGCGCGGTGGTCGCGGTGGCCGCGGTGGTCGCGGGAACGGCGCCACAGCGGTGTGGGCGAACGATGCGTATGACCGCAACCAGGACTACGACGAGGACCCCATCGATGTCAGTGCACGTGTTGTATGTGTGCTGTGTGTTGTGTGTTGTGTGTTTGCGTGTGTATTTGTGTGTTTGCGTGTGTATTTGTGTGTGTTTGCGTTTGCAAGGAGAGTACTTTGGATTACGCCCTTGTGGCACGAGTGCGTTGCTCCTTCGACTCACTCATGTGTGTGTGTGTATGTGTGTGTGTGCAGATCCCCGATGCGCCGTTCTCCGTCACGGAATCCCGCTCGAGCGCATGGGCGAACGTACGGCTGTGGAGGAGCGGAGTGAGGTGGAGGGGAAGTTGGAAGCAGAGGCGGTGCACGACACACACACACACACACACACACACACACACACACACACACACACACATGCACACACATGCACACACACACACACACACACATGCGCACAACAGTCATACGCATGAGCAGCTTCTCCCCGCTCCTTCTCAACTGCTTACGCGTCCATGTCTTGCGACAGGTGAAACCGGATGACCTCAAGGTGGAGCCACGACAACCGCTGGCAGCGTCGCTGGCACGCGCTCTCAACGACGACAATGACACCAATGGTGGTGGTGACAATCGCCACCGAGGCAGCAACAGGAGCGGCAGCGCTGTCGCTGGCGAACAGCAGCAACAGCAGCAATATGAAGAGGAGGATGAGAACACGGGCCGCAGCTTGCAAAGTAAGATGGGCGTGTGTCACACTTGAGGCTTGGGCTGGTTGTTACATTTTCACCGTCAATGCAGTTTCAATCAGCGTGCTTGTGTAGTGCTTGTGTAGTGCTTGTGTAGTGCTTGTGTAGTGCTTGTGTAGTGCTTGTGTAGTGCTTGTGTAGTGCTTGTGTAGTGCTTGTGTAGTGCTTGTGTAGTGCTTGTGTAGTGCTTGTGTAGTGCTTGTGCTTTTCCGTTGCTGTTCTTGCCTCACTGCAACTCTCCCCTTCTCCAACCATCCCCCTATCCACCTCACCAACGCACTGTCCAACCAATTTAATCGTCCAACCATCCACGTATGCACGTCAGGTCTTGAGAAGCGAGCACAGGCTGGTGCTCTTCGCAGCAATCGCGACACAACACCTGCAAGCTGGAACACGCAGGAGGTAGGCTGTCCTGCTGTCGGTCATGTTCATGGCGTGTGTGTGTGCGTGTGTGCGCGCGTGTTTATGGCGTGCTGTGTGTGTGTGTGCGCGTGGTTATGGCGTGCTCTGTGTGTGTGTGTGTGTGTGCGCGTGTTTATGGCGTGCTGTGCGCGTGTTTCTGGCGTGCTCTCTGTGTGTGTGTGTGTGTGTGTGTGTGCGTGCGTGCTTGTGGGTGCCTGCAACATTCAGCAGCTGTTGTTCTTCGCTGCTGGACCGCTGTTCTCATTTACTTTCCAATCAGCTTGCACGGCCTCACCCACCACCACCACCACCACCACCACCACCACCTGCTGTCAGATCACGCGACGTGAGCGCGAACGTCTGCTGTCCTCCACCGCCACAAAAGCGCCCAACCCAACAGCACCAGCAGCGCATCCGCACGCATTGTCATCATCGTCATCAGCAACAGCAACAACAGCAGCCGCATCCACGGGCACGTCGACACCTGCAATGGGGGGAGTGGACCGTATTTCCCCCACTGCCAGCGCGACGAGCACAGGATCAGGGGAGGGCCCCCAGTGCATGACGGTTGCGTCACCGTCGCTGCTGCGCGTCATCTTGCACTCGAACCGCCGGCCGGGACACGCGAACGTCATGTCTGAGAAGACGCCGCAGAACGAAGCAGTGGACCGCATTGCCCTCTCGGGCTGCATTCTCGACTGCAGGAACGGGTGCGCACAACTTGTGGCGGGTGTTCTTGTTGTTGATGCTGATGTTGTGACTGCTGTGTGTGCATGTATGTATGTATGTGTGTGTGTGTGTGATTAAAGTCGTGCGTGTCCTGTGCTGCTGCTACAGTCCGTGCTCTTCTGCTGCTTGTTCTTTTCCATCTCAACCACCCCTCACACCATCACCACCACCACCACCACCACCACCACCACCACCATCACCACCACCACCATCACCACCACCACCACATCCTCCTCCTCAACGCACGACAGCATCTGGTGCCTTGCGCCCGGGTCCAGCTTCCACACAACACCACCCTCCACGGGCACACACCGGGAGGAGTTTGTGCTGCCGCCGGGCATCTACGCACAGTTCCACCACGACTGCCGGCAGTGGTTTGTGAGCAGCACGCGCCCTGCGCAGGATGCAGCAACTGGGGCGGTGGCGGGCAGTGGTGGCAGTGCACCCCAGGCCCAGCTCGTTCGCTCCCAAACGGCCACGCCAGAGGAGATGCGCTTCGCTCAGGTGAGCATGCACACACCAGTCGCTGTTGTTGCCGGTGTGCGAATTTGGTTGTTGTGTTTGTTGCGTTGTGTTGTGTTTGTGTTGTGTTTGTCCACACTCCCTTGTATCTTCAAGCCGTCGTTGTCTCATCCCCCCCCCCCCTTCACCCGCCAACACGCATTGTCGCTGTGCAGATGGGCGGGCTGCGCATGATTGCTGGCGTCGACACCGCTGTCAAGACCATTATGGAATTCCTCTGCGCTCCAGTCGCCAATGGCCAGCACCCGCAGAAGGGTATGCCAGTGGTGTTGAAGAATGATGATGATGATGAGTGCAAGTGGTGGCGATGATAAATGCTGGCGATGATGCTGAGTGGAAGCGGGGGCGATGGCTCTTTGAGTCACTTGTAACAGTGTGGGCGTGTACCACGTTGAGCTTCTGGCATTTGTTCTCACCGTTCACGGTTTCGTCGTTCCTCAACGCGTTTTCAGAGCTGCACCGACGTGCGGATGACTCCATCACCGCAACTGTTGGCGTGTTGATCCGCAAACGCCTCTGCGATGCCCTCTTCCGCATTCTCACACACGGCCTCTACAAGAGGTGCGTTGCCCTGTGTGTGTGTGTGTGTGTGTGTGTGTGTGTGTGTGTGTGTGTGTTGAATGCTTCTGGACGTTGCTTGTGTTCATCTGAGCGGTTGCACCCGCCCATGCCAAGTCCACGCACACACGAGTGCGCGCCAATCCATTTTCACTACCAACCACGTCACACTCATTCCTACACACACACACACACACACACACACACACACACACACACACACACACACACACACACACACACACACATGATGCCACTGCCACTACTTTCGCGTGGCAGTCGAATGGGCGGGCTGATCAAGGTGGATGTGTGGGATCTGTTTGTGGCGGCAACCCCACGACCAGTCCCAAGCACACCCCAATCCCTCCGGCACGCGTATGCGGCCATGCGTGATCTCCAACACAACGTGGTTCGTGGATGCGTGCATTCGTTGAATTAACTGGCGAGCTGTCTTGCTCGCTTGCTTGCTCCGTCACGGCTCATGTTCATACTTTGCGTTTTTTCTCACTTTCGCTTTCACCCCTGCAGAACATGTTGAACGATAACCACGTGCGTGCGCGCTCGTTCATTTGTGCCGGTCTCAACCACAAGTTTCTCGAGAAGTGGCTGTTTGCTCTCTACCGGTGAGATAGTGGGCAGCGGGACAGAGGGAGAGAGAGAGAGGGGGGGGGGGGGAGGAGAGAGCAAGTGACGTCACACTGTTTGCGTTTGGTGAAGTTGGAATGATGGTGGCGGTGGTGAACGTTTTTGTTTTTTTTTTTCTTTGGGGGGAGGGGGCGGGGAGGGGGTTGCCTTGTTGTGGCTGAGCCATTTGTGTGTTCGCTGAACTTTGTGTGCATGTGCACGTGCCCATGTGTGTGCCGCCTTTGCCGTCGCTATCGAACGCCTCTGCTCACAATGCTACCGCGGTTGAACCTCTGCCCTATTCTATCTCTTTCACCACCACCACCACCATCATCATCATTATCATCTCCATCAGGGACAAAGCGCTGCTTGCAAAGCACTTTGAGCCCAGGAGTTTCCTGCGGCAGTGCCCCAGCATCCAATTTGAGCAGTTTGTGCTGACCCTTAACCCCCTCCTCTCTGTCCCCTTCCGCCTCCACACCGCTTTCGAGATGGAACATCGCGTCAAGCGCCAGCGCTCCGTCCGATCGTAAGTTACCTTCGCAGCAATTGCGGCGAAGGCTCTCGGGGGGGGGGGACCATGGTGGTGGTTGGAGCGGTGGCACGTGAAGTGACGGTGTACAGGTGAATATGAATGATTGCTGGTGAATGTCGTGTGCTTTCTCTGTTGTTGTTTCAAGTGCAGCATAAGTCTCACGCATGCACGCATGCGACACACACGCACGTGCACACACACACACACACACACACACACACACACACACACACACACACGCACACACGCACGCACGCAAACACACACACACACATACAGGCGCAACACTGCAAGCAACAGCACAGTAGCGCAGCAGCAGCATCAGCAGCCGCTGCCCAGCGGCAGTCACGATGGGCGGCAGGTGGCTGACTCGTTCCCGGCCGATTCGCGCGATGTCGTCACACACTTTGAGGAGCAGGCGGAGATTGACGATGCAAAGCCGACGTTTGTTCGCGCCCTCTTTGCCAACGACGTCCCAGGTGCGGGCATTTGTGTGTGTGTGTGTGTGTGTGTGTATGTATGTGTGTGTGTGTGTGTGTGTGTGTGTGTGTGTGTGTTTGGATTCGAGAATATTTGCGTTGCAATCGTTTGCACTGTCACTTGGTAAAATACTCAACCCCCCTCCCCCCCCTCCTCTTAACGCACACATGTACAGATGACGATGCGGAACTGCCATTCCAACCGGGCGACATCCTGACGTTTGAGGCGTGGCACCCAACCAACAACGAGTGGTGCTTCTGCTCATTGCACGGTCGTCGCGGGCTCGTCCCCGTCAGCTACATTGAGGTGCTGGATGAGGTTGAGGCAGCAGCGCACCAGGCCACGCAGTCGTTCTACTCTGCGCCGAGTGACGGCGACACACCCAGCGCCGCGCTCGCGTCGTCGTTGCCGCCATCAGCGACAGCACACGCGCCAGAGCCGTTCAACCCGCTCGCTGACCACGGCGCGGAGGACGCACGTGCGATGGGCATGATGCGAATGCCATGGGCGCATGAGGGCGGCGCTGTGGTGCCTGCAGACGATGACAATGGTGATGGTGGCGATGATGGTGAAGATGCTGTGGTGCGTGATAGCCAAGTTGTTGTTGGCGGTGCTGGTCAAGACGAAGAAGATGAGGATGGAGACGTTGAGGTGTAACCGGCTGCCCGTTGAGCGCGTGGACACGTTCCTGATATGCAGTGTTGTTTGTGTATGTGTGTGTATGTATGTGTGAGATAGGTGTATGTGTGTGAGATAGGTGTATGTGTGTGTGTGTGTGAGGTGTGTGTGTGTGTGTGTGTGCGTGTGTGCACTGCTGCAGTTCGTTGCTGTTCCCTTGCTTGTGCGATGATGTTGTGCCTGTTGCTCGCGCGCTTTCTTGCTCTCGTGCCCCCTCCCCCTTCTTGCCTGCTTCCCTTTGTCTGCCTACTCGACCAACTGTTACGTGACCACACCCTTGTGTTGATGGGTGCATGAGCCAGAGTTGTTGCTGCTTTTTGTCATTAGCTTGCTTGTTCCGTCTGTTGGCGCACATACAACGCATACATGCGTGCAGTGCAAATGAAGCACTCAAAGGAGGAAGAGAGTGACACACACGTGACATGATGTGATGTGAGTGTTAAATGTGTGTGATGACACCAAACAACAAAGCCATTCGAATCGCGCAAGCAAACAACGCAGCAAAACAGCAGCGATGGCTGATGATGACGATGGGAAGGTGGTGGAGTTGAGTTTGGTGGAGGGTGTGGAAGGTTATCAGGTGGATGTGCCCTTGGAGCGTCCCCCACCAGTGTACACGCGCTACTTTCCGGATCGCCGCTACCTCTGCCGTCATAAGGATGGAGCCTGCGTCGACGTCTACGCCTTCAAGCACTCCAACAGGTATGTGTATGTGTGTGTGTATGTGTATGCCTGTGTGTGTATGTATGTGTGTGTATGTGTGTGTATGTGTGTGTGTGTGTATGTGTGTGTGTGTATGTGTGTGTGTGTGTGTGTGTGTGTGTGTGTGTGTGTGTGTGTGTGTGTGTGTGACGTTGCGATTGCTGTGCCCCTATCTCTCCACGCTGCACACTCCTCACGGCTGTGCGCTCTCGGCCAGTCTCCACTTGGCGATCATAGGGGACCCCCCCCCCCCACAC